CAGGGTCACCCATGGGTCACCCATGGGCCGCCCATGGGTACTTCATGGGCACTTGATGGGCCGCTCATGGGATTCCCATGGGCTGCCCATGGATCACCCATGAGCTCATGGGCATGCCTATGGGCGGCCCATGAAGTGCCCACCGCGGGCACTTCAACCTAGAACTTCGCACCGACATATCAACCTAGAACTTAGCCACTTCACATCAACCTAGAACTTAGCCACCAGCGCCAACGTAGCACGTATCGTGTGGGCTCGGGGTTAGGGTTAGGGTTAGGGTTAGCGTTAGTGTTAGTCATTAGCCGCTATAGTGCCCATTCCAACGCAGATAGTCTATTGTTTAGGAGTACACTGGTTCGGTTGAAGGGCTCTCAATGGTCGCCCATGAGCTTTCCATGGGTTGCTCATGGGCCGCCCATGGGCTGCCCACGGGCTACCCATGAGCAAGCCCATGGGCACCCCTATGGGCTGCCCGTGGGCATGCCCATGTCCATGGTCATGGACCATGGGTCACCCATGGGTCATCCATTTGGATCGTTTGGGATCACTGTAGAAAGTGTGGAGATCTGAAGTGCCGTTTCCAATTCGGCTGAATGTGGTTCACCTGCACCTGAAAGGTCTTACGAAGCGTAAACTACCGTCAAGCCATCAAATGCGGCTTTCGGCATGGACGCGCTGACTTTGCGTATCTCTCTTCGTCCGCTGGAAAAAAGTTGTGTGTCCAAAGCAATCGACAGGGACCCCAGATGATGATGTCCTGACAAAAAAACACAGCAGGCTCAATGGCGTCTTTATTGTGGTCGAACGATCTTCTGGGACGCATGTTGTTCGTGGGCATGAAACGGGAACTCTCTCAATCCTTCCTCGTCATTCAGCTACAGTTCCTTGACGCTCTGAGCACAATGGTGTCAATTCGTGTCAAGGAAAACCAAGGCATTGTTTGTCGATGTTCGCTTTGGTATGGGTACAGATTGGACGCAAATCATGAGCAACATCCCTTCACTCTTGTTTCTTGGTGGCGACGGACGTTTTCATGCTGAGTTGAGACAGGGCGTCTCGAATGCGCCAACACTTGGGAAATTGGTAGCTATTGCAGAGAGTTGAGGGTTCGATTTCCCGAAATACTCAATACCACATGGGAGCTTGAGCCACACAATATCCCCACAATAACGCCTCATGGATTCTCTGTTAGTTTCTCCACTATATATTCCCTATCGGTTTCCTCACTGATGAGATAATGGACGAGGGTTGTGCAAATCAAAGTTCCTCATGCCATGTAGTTGGTGAAGCGTTCTGTGTACCCATTCTTTGACCGAAACCACGAGCCCGATTGCTTTCCTGGGTCATGGGGGAATTGACGCGAACGAGTAAACATCTTGACTGCTCAGGACGCCCAATTTTTTCATCGAACTGTCGCGATGCGTGCGTCCATGAACGGAACATTCCCCCGCGCACCACGCAATGACCAGGTGCTTCAAGTCGGCGACCTCGATGTCCTTCACGTTGCCATCGAATTTCTGTTATTGTGTATTTTCCAACTCACTCATGGAACTTCCGATCACATGGCGGATGTGGGGAGCCAGTGTCACCGCGCACATAACATTATGAAGAAATGAATCGACACGCCGCTAGCTGGTTGGGTTTTGGGACCCTTAGACACCCTCTTCCCTAGAAGCCAAGAAGATTCAACAATCTTTCCGTGCCCATCCCAGAAATCTCGAAAGTAGAAATGTACGCTTCACTCCTGCCAATAACTGTACTGGGTGATAGCGAGGGTTGGTCGTGTTGACGAACGGTCTTCTTCTGTGCTGTCGTTGCCCCCGTGTGCTCAGCCCAACACGCGCAGTAGCCGAATGTTTCGCGGTACGACCGTCGTCCAACGCGTGCCGGCAATGAAAATACATTGGCCAGAAGAAACGGTTTCAGGTGCGAGGCGCAAATCACGTCCTGGAAGAAACAGCCGCTGCCTCGACGCTTTCATCGTCGCGTTAAGCCAACCTCGCGCGGGAGGGAAAAAGAGCGGTACGCGTCTACTCTGCAGCTACAGCTGGCGTCACTCGACTACTGCCGGGCGTGCCGAAGGGTGCCCACCCTGCTCGTTCGGGCAACCCGTCAATCACCTTGTAACCTTTGGGGTCGTTTGACGACGGTGAAGCGACCACTCCTCCTTCATTCCGCGCCGAGTCCTCGCTCCTGCCGCATTCCTCCCGTTCGGGCGCTTCACGTCGTTTGGGAATTTCCGGCTAGGGTATTGTCTAAGGGCCTCTACCTGGGCCTGTGGAGCGGGGTGGAGAAGCTACACGTGGGCAGCAGCCTTTGCCTAGGACGCACCATAGGTCCAGTCTTGTGGCCACCTGGCTTGAAAAGGCTCGACATCGGTATCGAGTTGCGAGTGCCGGTCCATGCAGTGTCCTGGCCGGTGTTCCTCGAAGAGATGACATTTTCGGGGTTCTTCAACCAACCAGTCCTCGGAGCTGCGTGGCCGGCCACCCAGCAACGTCTAAGGTTCGGGAAGTTGTTTGATCGTTCCATTGCCGGAGTTGGATGTTCGGCCTCGTTGCAGAAGCTAGTTCGGGCGTTCTTTTGACCGTTCCATTATTATCGGAGTTGTATAGTCGAACTCCTGGCAGCAGCAAACGTTCGGGTTCTTTTTCGACCAACCGATCGTCGAAGCGGCGTTGCCAGCCTTCCTGCTGAAGCTCGAGTTCGGAGACTGTTTCAACCATCCCATTGCTGACGTTCTGCGGCCGGCCTCCTTGGAAAGCTAGCGTTTGGGAAAGGCTTTAACCGACCGATCGCCTGGGTCGCACTGCCGGCGCCCTTTCAGGAGTTAACGTTTGGTGACGGTTTCAACCAACCGATCGCCGCAGTTTCACTGCTAGCCTCGCTACGTTCGGGCGGTTTTTTGACCAACCCAATGCTGGCGTTGAGTGGCCGGCTTCCCTTCGACGCCTTGAGTTCGGGTATTGGTTTCGCGGCAGCATTGCCGGAGCGGCTTGGCCACCCTTCCTGCAGCATCTGGTGCTCGGGGATTCCTTTAATCAAAGGCTTACCGGAGTGACATGGCTTGCCTCCTTGCAACGTCTAGCGTTCGGGGATGGGTTCAACCAGTCGATTGCGTCCGTAATCTTCCATGCAAACGCTGGTATTCGGGGAAATATTCAACCTACCCATCGGCGGAGTATCGCATGGCCACCACGCCTCCTGTATCTAGGGATTGGGAACACTTTCGACTATCCGTTGTCAGAGGTGCTTGGCCATCTTCCCTCGTTAGCGTGCAACATGGACTCTCGGTGTGGTATAATAGGTCTCGGGACAAGGTGTTTGATAACTAGGTCCCAGTCCTGGCCAACGAACACGTCGCCAACTGGAGGGGGTACGACCACTATTTTGGGAAGTTGAAGGAGTCGAACGAGAGAAGGGAGAGGAAGGACGTACCGCTGCTTGCTTTGGAGGGGATAAACGGTCTTGTGTTGTTGTTTTGCCTGCTAGTGATCAACTTTTGGATTGTTTGGGAGTTGTTGCTCCTCGGTATTGATGGTTGGCAATAATTTGCATAGATATCTAGTATGTCAAATGTTTGGCGGGATGAGACCTGCTGTTGAGGACTCACCAGATAGGCAACCCGACACCAGATCGGTGGCAGAGAAACGCTGAAATAGGTGTTGGCAGTGTGGATAGGACCACCGCGTCGCGACAGGAGGCCTCATCCCGGCCGCACCGTCTTTTCATTCTCAACTGCAGATAGGCAGCCCCCTAAGCCTCACACAAAACAGACAGTCGTGTTTCGTTCGGAGTGAATCTAACGAGAGCCGGCTTCCCTTCATGGTCCGGTCCTATTGGTGGTCGTGGGATTTGGTAAGGTGGGTTCGACATGGTGCTCCCCCCGCGACCTGGGGTTCCCATCCTGCCTCCCACGGCAGGCAAAAAATCAGATCGTGGAACTTGTGGAGCTTCCTTCTTCCAACGTGGCAGAGGTAGCGTACTCGATGAAACACGCGCATACGATCGTGGAGAGGAGTGGGGTCACTTGCTGCCGGTCGGTCGTGTTTCTGATTCCCCCGCAGCAGCCTTCTTCCCGTTCAGCAACCTCGGCAAGAAGTCAACTGAAGGAGGGGGGCAGTGTGGACACATTTTCAACAGCCGTTTGCTCGTGCCCGGCAAACAAATACAGGTGCTGCCCCCAGGCAGCCAGCCCCCTAGCAAGCGTCGCTGTCCCATACGCTCCCATTTCTCCTTGCCCGCTTCAACCCTTGGATGCCTGCCCTCTGCATGCAGTGAAACACTGTGGCATGCATATCTGTGAATATGTCATGTCGACCCCGTACGATGAGTGCGAGTCTCTCGCTCTGGAGTGAACGAGGGCGTTACGATCTGGGGTAGAAATCGAAAAATTGTGAGGACTGTACTGAGCACAAGGCTGTCTTGTACATACATAGTCTAGTGCTCATCGTGCGTTTCATGCCGCACATACTTTCGATCTTTTGACCTGCATAGACTTAACTTTATACAGCACTTCAGGAACGAGGCGAGTGATGAGACATTTTTGTATCATGTTGTGGTTCGTTTGCGATCATGAAACTTATTCTTCTGTTGGGCTTGAACAGCACGGCAGGGGAGGGACATCTCAGACAGAGATCATAACGGCTTGAATTGTGGAGACAGCGACAACTGCAATCCACATCAGCAACAATCACCCCCCGGCAACAAAGGCAACAACTGTCGGAGCAGGTAGATCGTCGCTCGATTACATGTCCCATCGCACTCTCCCATTTACGGACCTTGTTTACGCGACCCACGACTGTAAACCGCCCGCACTCTTTAGGGACTATGTAGGATTACTAGCCGGATCAAACAACATGCTGGTATGACTTTCGTATTGGTCCCGGGTTGAATTTCATGATGTTCTGCACGGTATTCATTCAAGGCTACAAAGCTTAGTACTCAATTATGCTGAGGGACAATTCCCGTTCTTGGAAACAACATAGACGTTCCTTCCTCTCCCTGAGGTGACCCTGCGAAACGTGATGCCCCTTGGGTGTGGCACGACATGGACCAATGTTTGACATAGTTTCGCAGTCGTATGTAGCACGCACCGCAGGAGCAAGGTGGGGCACGAAAAAAAAAAAGAAGACAACAGCCCTCGCTCCTGTGTGACCCTGGATGGTGGTAGTTGTCCGAAAAGATACACTGAAAAGTGTAGTACTCTACGTACATTGAAAAGTGTAGTACACGTCTCACCACGAAAAATGGGGGGACTGTCGCCATAAAATAGGACGGAAACAAAATGTACACATGTTGCAAGGGACGTGAATCCCCCTGCCCTTTCAATCCCCGGCGAATGGGGGCATCGTGTTTGACATGCCGAATGATCAAAGGTACTACCGTACGTCTCAGGACAATCCGACCCTAGGCCGGTGGTGAAGAGAAAGTTAGCTTCGGTGTTGATCTTGTAGTTCGGGTGGGACCACCGGGCACAGACAGGAGATCGTTTGTCGCTAGGGTCGACATTCACCGACAAGAACCTCGTCTTGCTCATGTAGTAGTCTAGACTATCCTAGGGGGCCGATCCGGCTGCCGTTAGACGAATTCTTCTGCAGTGCATGAAATCAGTGCTGAAAGCGGGCTCTTTGCCAACGAGTGTATCTATTCAGCACTCTAGACAGTGCCACACAGCTCTGAGCAAATACAAACGGCAGGCAAATATCTTGTCGAGAATTAACCCTCTCAACCTACCCGCGTTCATTCGGTTCGAAGAGTTCTGCCTTTTTTCCGGGCTGATCTCGCTCGCTAGAAATCGACGGTGGAAATCGTGCGCCAACTGCCGAACTGCCCAAACGATCAACCACCCCATTCGCCAGAACAAGTGGGGAAAAATTAAAACGACAAACTCACTCTCGAGTTGGCCCAACCAAAGACAAGAAAGAGTTGGGCTGTTGCGGGTTTCGACAAGCAAATCTTGGTTCAAAACAGCGACCTGGTGAACTGCACTCTACAACCCTCCATGATATTCTTGTCCTGTGAGTCAAAAGTCAGTGAGCTTAAAACCGGCAACAGATGAGCTCGACGATTCGATCGTGTGCTAAATAGATTCCAACCCAATAGGCCAAAAAGTACTCGGAACGAACGACACTCAATTCGGACCACGGGGGGGAAACCATCGGAAAGGCAGCAATATTGAACCGAATACAAAACCCATGCATGATTCTCAAGTGCCCGTCATCCCTGTGTGCGATTAGCAGTTCGTGACCCCTTTGACATGCCAAACCACCGGTCGACCCCTGCCACCCTGGCTACCGAAACAAGAGGCAACAAACGACTTGCGCCCCTCCTTCATTCCGAGCATGCCTCTGCAGCCTCGACAAAACCCAGAAGGCGACCCCTTATTGTCCCCGATCTTCCTGGAAGCTGTCCATGCCCTCCTCTCCTGCCTTTGTGAGGCTCTGCTATTATTGAGCCAAGTAGCCCAGGTACTCCTTCGCCCCCTCCCCCTTCCCAGACATGCCTCTTGCACGGCCGTACTTTACGCTGGCCTTCGCTCTAATTGCCTTCAGGATGGCCTCGGCAGATTCCGCTTGCATCATTCCCCCCTTGTACAACACCTGATCGTGCATGTGTCGACGGCCGGGAACTCGCTCAGGGGCACAATATTCACCCCATGCCGCTCACTTGGTTACCGTATACGACACAAGATAACACACCCCTTCTACCAATTTTCAAAGCTCGACTACCCCATGACGAAGAGGATGCATACACGAAAGGATACGTTTTCGGAGAGCTCTCGACCAGACGGCTTCAACACCGACGTTTTCGGCGCCGTGACTCTTTCTGCTGTTGATCAATGGAGCTTTCCAAACGAGTCCAAGGAAGGAGATGAGATTCCCCCGAATGTGGAACCTGACTGTCCAAATACTAAACACCGAAAACGTCTGACTACTACGCATGGAACGTACGTTGCGCAATAAAGTACATCCTTGAGGCGAGTGACAATCTTGCATTTCTCGCGCGTAGAAGAAAACAATTTGTCCTTCATTTCAGCGCCCCACATTCTTAGTCCAGCGGCCACCTTTGGGCACCGACGTCTCTAATAGTACTGCGCACGGATGCTTTTCGCATATGTACAGCGATGGTCGCGATATGCCGTACCGTACCGAGGTGTGCTGACAAGCGACAACAACCGCGGTACATCGGGACAGCGGACTATTGAGTGTTGAGGGAAGAAATCGCTTTTAAATATGGTAGACAAAAATATGACAGGCGATTCTTTCCGCGGTTTATCGGGACCGCTGTACATGATAGCTACCACCACTGTACCTCAGAGGCCCATATTGTGTGGTAGCCGGCGTCCCTGAGCTGCCAGCAGTCTTCTATCTCATCCAGGCCCTCATCTGATCTTCTGTCCACGTGTGCCACAGACACCACCTGCTAACGGTTGTCGAATGAGAAGCTTGGCTCATCACGATGGCTGTACAAGATAAAAAACGGGCAGCACTTGCGTCCAAAAACAACAACGCAGCAGTTCAACAGCGAACAGTATTGCCAGGATGCTCAAAGCATCTCCCTCCCTCTCGCAGGACTCTGTGCCTATATGTCGCGGGAACAGGCACGAAACAAAATCAAGGGGTTGACACGATCGTGCATCCGACACGACACGGCCATCAACGGGAAACGTGGCATGTGCCCTTTCTCGGGAAAGGCAAGCCTGTTGACTATACATAAAAAAAATTATGACTGTGGAATAGGAGCCCGAGGAGATACGATGCGCCACTGTCGGGGGGATAAACATAGGCGACCGTGACACGCAGAGTCCGCACAACATTGTCCAAGCGCGCAATGGGATGCAGGGGGATCTACACATCATTCCCTGAGCGGAACAAACAAAAAGCGCCTCGAGTTAGCTCTCACCCTATCGGGAATGTACTGCCGCAGTTCCACCGCCTCATCCACCGTCTTTCCCACTATGGAGATGATCGAGATGTCCTCCGAGGTCACCGCCTGCTCGATCTCCTCCTGGCTGGTGGCCTGGATCACCGCTTCCATGCCTGATGTCGACGTGGTCAAAGCGCAACGCAGGGAAGTGAGATAGGTGTTGCTGTTGCTACGCTTTTGATTGTTGCCGTGCCATTCTGGTTATGGTGTGGTCGTTGTGGTTATTGTTGTCGATCGCAGACCGTCAAGTGCGGATACCTAACGTTCACTTGCTACCGTGGTTCTATCCACTTAAGGTGGCCGTTGCCAGAGCAACCAATGCCCACCGATTCCCCAAAATACATCGACACAACTCTCACGACAATTTACCCACGCACCAGGTGCGGAACAAACAACCAAACCTTGAGCGTCTCATCGAACAAGCGACTCTTCAGCCGTGACCCCCTCCCCCCCCCCCCCCCCCCC